CCCCAAAACCCCAAAACCCCAAAACCCCAAAACCCCAAAACCCCTCAGGTTTGAAAACTAATAGAATAAACTTTAAATTTATAAAAATAATATGAACAACTACCATATCTATGAAGAAATAGGAAAGGGCAAATACTCCTTCGTGTACAAGGTACTTTAAGGCTTTAATCTTGTAGGGCAGAGTTAAGAAGACTATTGACTACGTAGCGGTTAAGAGCGTAGAGAAGTGTAGGCGCCAGAAGGTTTTGAATGAAGTCAGAATTTTCGGAGCTCTGAGTCATCCTAATATTCTTAAATTTCATAATTGGTATGAGACTAAGAATCATTTGTGGACTATTTGAGAGTATTGCTCGGGAAATGACCTTTATTCAATGATTGAGCAGGATAATCAGGTATTTTTAGGGGAGAATTTATTTAAACTTATTATAGTTCCCTGAGAAATCGATTAAGCTCTTTGGAAAACAATTACTAGGAGGACTTAATTATTTGCATTCCAAAGGTATAATATATGCTGACCTCAAACCCAGCAATGTCTTGCTCAATGAGTATGGGAACCTCAAGCTATGAGATTTCGGGTACTCAAAATAAATTAGAAGACTTGGAAGAAGGCTACAAGGATAAATTAGATAGAGTAAGTTTGTGGACTTATTTCAATAGGGAAATGTAGGTACACCCTACTATATGGCACCAGAGATATACCAGGAAGAAGGAGTTCATAGCTTTGCTTCAGATATGTGGTCGCTTGGATGAGTTCTTTATGAGCTTTATTCTGGAAAACCTCCATTTTATTCAGATTCTTTCAAAGAACTTGTTAAGAAAATTCAATATGATGATTATCCTCAATTACAAGGAGCCTCAAAAGAGTTTAATGACTTATTGGCAAAATTACTTGAAAAAGAACCTACCTGTAGACCTTCTTGGGATGAATTAAGTAACCATGCTTTCTGGGGGGATGAAAAATTTAAAAGTTTGTTATTGCCAGATGAACCCCAATTCGAAAGATATTTGACTGCTAAAGGAATAGACCCGAAGCACTTCTATGAAACGAGGTCGAACCCTCTCGCTAAGAAACTGATAAGAGAATCAGCTAAAGTTGAGAAAGGGAAAGAGGTAGACATAATAAGATTATCTCATCATGTTAAAAAAAATATGAAACAACCAAACGATTACTCTCAACAGCATCAAGACATTACCTCAGACATCAAATTGAAGAACAGAGATGTTGAGCTAAACTTTGGAAAGAGGGAAACCACTCCGACTAAAGATTTTGTACCAGAAGTTAGTCCACATAAGGGAGATATGGAGGACGAAGTTGAAGAGGAAGAGAAAATCGATTTCACTGGAGAAGATTTTAAATCAAATCAAGGTCCTAGAGGTAATTTTAAATTAAAATAGTTTATAGGTCATTCAGAATCTGTAAAATCATCTAAAGTTCGAAAAATTATACCTGACGAAGATTTTGATCCAAATGAATCTCTCCAGGATCCAAGACTAGATAATAGTGAGAATCTGTTCACAAATAATCGCAAGATTGGTAACAAAACTGTAGAACAACTTTTGATTCATAATATTGATACAAGCGTTAAGCCAATTATCGGAAATAGAGATATTGAGCGTCAGAACGAGCTGAGGTATTCTCTCCAATTTTTGACCTTTGAGCCATGGAGAATAGAGGATATCGTTGCGACTATTAAGACCAATGAAATTGAGAGCCATCTCTCTGAAGTATACTCCTCAATTGCTGGAAACAGCCCGCAAGAAAAGATTCATGCACTTGCATATTTTGAATCAACTATTGTAAATAGTGAGATTGCTAATAGACTTATCAATTCAGCATTTGTTAATCTCTTTGTCAAAGTGCTTAGGTCTGCAAAAAGCACTCAGATTAAACATAGATTATGCTCTATTATCGGACTTTTAGTAAGACATGCCACTATTATTGAAAATGATAGAGCAGAGCTTGGTATCTGTGAAGCTTTGATGGAGCATGTCAATGATGCAAATGAAAAAGTAAAAAGAAAAGCAATGGCTGCATTAGGAGAGTATCTCTTTTATGCAGCAACTCAGCTTGATGATGAACAAGCTGATCCTATATGGGAGATCACTGATGATGCTATTACTTGAATCATTGAATTGATCTCTGATGAAACTGACTCAATTGTAAAGTTTTATGCTTGCAAAACTATTGAAAATATAACTGCTCAAAGTATATCAGCAGGTGAAAGATTTGCTACTCCTGAAGCTGCAAGCTCTCTTCTAAATATTTATCTCAAGAGTGAAACAGAAGGGTTCAGAATTGTGGCTTCTGTTGCTTTATCTCATCTTAGCAAACTGAATCCTAGCCTATTTCCTGTTATTTTTGAAACTATTACTCCTAAAAGCTTTTTCAATGTATTTAAAGAAGGACATGCACGTACACAGCAGGCTTACATCACAATGCTAAATCTGGCTTTAAGAATGCCATATCACAAACTGATTGACCAACTTCTCAGCAGCAGTTTATTCCTTCCCAGTTTAATGAATCTCCTTGAGCACCAGAGTGCAATTATCAGAGGAAAGACTCTACTAACATTTGTTTTACTTTTTAAGCTAGATTTCAGATGGATGAGCCTTGCCCAACAAGAGCTGAAGTTCTTCAACTTCCTTGACAGAGTCCAAAGAGAAAGTAATAAGTACTTCCAATCTTGCCTTTTCTGTCTGGTAGATACCATCATTGATATTGTGTCTGTTATCTTTAAAACAGTAAAGGATGAAAGCAGCAAAATTATTAAAGTTGGAGATATTGACTTTGATAAAGACAGAAAGGATTCAAAATTTGACGAGATACTGCACAGAACCGAATATAAAGAGCTTCAAGGAGATCTTACTCATTTTGTGATTATACTAGATCTAATGAACTCTCAGATCTTCAAGTCAAGGATTATCTCTACTGAGTTCATTGTGACAACTTCAAAGCTGCTTGAGATTATGCAAGGGGCTAATTTTACTGGAAGTATAGAATTCCTAAACATTCTTCTATCAATAATTGAATGAGTAAGCGGAGTGCAGAAATGCTTATTTGAAGGACATGAACTGATCCTTCAATATCTTTTACCAAAGCTATTAAATATGCTGAACCATGACGGAACTAATTTTAGGTTCTTGAGTTTAAAAATCTTTGCAGACATTGCTACTCAATTCCTCTCAGAATCAACCATCTATGACGTGAGTGGGAGCAACTCATTCTCTAAGGGTCTTAACAAACTGATACTGAAGAAACTGTTCCCAAAGTACACAGAGATCCTCGAAGACGAGAACCCAGTCCCTCTATTCGGGTTGAAGCTGCTCTCTATAATAGTTGAGAGAAATTCTGCATTTATTACTATCCTTTCTGATCTGAACTTGATTTCAGTTATTTGAGATTACTTTGAAGTTGGCCATCAGAGGTTGAACAGATATACTATCAAGATTATCAAAAACATAGTTGAGAGTGATACACTTGACATCAACGATGTTGTAGATCTCCAGATTGCTGATAAAGCTAATGAGATAATTGTTAACATGCTCGATAATAAACAAGACTGGTGATTTGAACTCTTACTCGACATTGTTTACTATCTTCTTAAAGACACAGCTGATAAAGTTCAAAAGCAAAAACCTTGATCCGCACAGGTTAAGAAATTGATAGAGCTTCTATACAAAAACTTTGTGCCGTGAATCCAGCTCCTCAGTCCAACCTTCGAGTCTATAATAGTAGATAGAGCCAGTCAGTGTCTTTTGACTCTTCTACAGCTATATGCTATTTCTCAAGACACTGAAGATAAGCAGCTATATTTCACAGAAGAGCACATGAATAACCTGCTGGGATCACTCGAAAGTGATAAGAGAGTTGTCGTTAAGAGAATCCTAAAATGCATATATTGGGCATTGAGTCAACCAGAATACAAAATAAGAATGGATGCAAACATGACAAACATCTTGGTGAGATACCTAGAGAAATTCGTTAGCTCTGAAGATAAGGCTATCAGTACTACTTCCAGAGAGATTTATAAGATTATATAGTCCTTCATTAATGTTTATGCAGCTTGTTTTTAGGGGTTAGAGATTTCAATTGTAAAATTCAGTTTGGGGTTTTGGGGTTTTGGGGTTTTGGGGTTTTGGGGTTTTGGGGTTTTGGGG